CTATTCCAAATGTAGACCCTTTGTGGGGGAGGTACCAGAAGGTGTGAACCAATATTGCCCATCTCCGAACTCGATCAAAGTCAAGCAAGCACTTCACCGGGAATGGGCCAAAATACCGCACGTGTGACGGTTTCATTGGCTGTTTGGAGGTCATAATTCGTGCCAAAGGTGACCAATTCGAACCAATCTATACTTATTCTAAAATTTGATGCTATTTCCGACATTATTTGCTTTAATTCAATAAAATTTAAAAATTATGTCATTTGACTTTGTTGTAGTTTTTTATCTCACCCTGTATACCCTCCATAGCCATATGATTGAGAATATAAGAATTTTATAAACATTAAACATATTTTATGTTTATATTACCAACCTACTTCATTTTGTTCAGAATCCTGAAAAATGTCCACAGAACCATCATAGAATGTTAGATGGCACTAAAATATGACCATATGAGAGGATCTGCCATCGCACAGTTTTGGTTCTATGAAATTGCAATGTGGAAATGTTCGGTCAAAACGAAATTACACATTGTTCTAAAATAAACGTTACATTCTACTCTGTTTTAACAACATCGGAACAGTTGAAGAAGAGAAGTTGGAGGGTTTTTTAAAAAAACGACTCCGTCAAATTTTAGTGAAAATCGAGGTTGATATTGCTCTCATTTATTAATTCTCACAATTTCAAAGTTCAAACGCTTTAACGCCGAATTACGCATTAAAAAATGATCATTGTATGATTTACTTGACATAAATCTCTATATTAAAAAGAGTAGTAAATAGTAAATAACTGACTGACTGAGATTCAACGCCCAGACGAAGAAGCTGATGTTAAAATCTTGAAATTTTGAATGAGGGTCAGTCTTGGTACGTAGGAAACTGATAAAACTGGGTTTTTGGAATCTCGTACTAAAAGGATACGAAAAGTAATAAAAATTGAAATGAGAGTCACTGATGGAGAGCAGGATAGATGTACCAACGGATTTTTGGAAATTCAAACTTCAAGGTTAAGAAATGTTCTAAAATAGTATCACTTGGTATTATGTGAATCATAGTTTTTGTGCAATTCAGCATTTTCCATGCAGTTTCCCCACCGCCAACCCCACTGAAGTTGTTCGTCCTCGTCGGGAAATTGTTTAATTTTTTCTGTTAAATTAATTTAGAAGAATTGTTTTTATCATAAGTTCTACATTTATTCAAAAACTAGTAAAAAAATTAATATTAAAAAAAAACTATTTTTCAGTTAACCCTTTGTGCACCAACACAAAATACGATTGGTTTGTGCCTTTGCTATTATATTTTAAAATTTATCTTCACGGGCATTATTTTATCTCGAGTACATTTTGCATCATGCGCTGGCAACCCTGTGTAGGTGACAGGCAATGAACCACTATCACATACATATAAAAATAAACGTAGCTGGAGACTGGGGAGCTATGAGCAACAAAAGAAAATTTGCATTTTTATATAACATCGTTTGTTCATTCTTTCGTTCAGTTCGCTCGGTGGTTCGTTTCTTTTAGTTTTTTTTTTTTTTTTTCATCATCCACTGTTGCCTTCTGTAATAATTCAAATAAAAAATGGCCACTCCTGATGCAATTTGCCGCATTGTCGCTGCAGTGCCATGCATCGTATTTATCACTGTTGTTTTGATAAAGATTCCAAAATAAATAAATGACTAACTGGAGGCATTTACGCCCCCCTCCTTCCCACGCCTCAATACTGCATGGTGTGCAATGCAATTTATTTTAAAATAAAATATTGTATCATTGTCAAAGGTAGGAGAGCGACCACAAACGAAATGTGTTAACAACAGCAAAAAATATAATTCAATAAATAATTGGTTATCCAAGAATATTTTTTCGCAATTGTTGTTAAAATGAAATAATTCATATATGGATGAATCAGCAACTGGAAGATGCCTTTGATAGGGATTTAAATAAAAATTATTAAATGTTTGAAAAAATTATGTAATAAAAGATTGTAGCATAAAAATGGGTTTGCATTTTACTCAGGCTGACCATAGAAGATGGGCTCAACTTAATATCCATCGAAGTGTGCTTTCTCTTATTAAAGGATTTGAAATGGCAATAATATCAGGCTTAAGAAGCCCAATGAGATGAAAAAACTGTAACCAACTTCAGACTGCCGCCATTTCTAAGCCACTCGTCAGACAGCTGTTAAAATTATTCCAGTGACAGCTCATGATATTGTTTACAAGCGAACAAAAGCATTTTGGTGAGAATTTTCCATTAAAAATGTTTTTCGTGATGGAATTCAAGCGCGATGGTGTGATTTCTTTATATTTGGTTGGAAAACCACAAGTGGCTATCGTTAGAGCACTCCAGCATTTAAATGTAAATATTTCTTTTGTGTCTCGTACCATCGCTCCTTACCGTGATAATGGTAGCGTAGCCCGATGTGAAGGAAGTGGATGGAAGAAACAGTAACATCAGCAGAAATGGTTTGAGAAGTAAATAAACGACTTGATCGAAACCCGCGTGGCCGAAAAATGGTTCGTGAGCTGAACATATCGCAATATTCCATTCGGCAAATATTGAAAAATGAGCTCGGGGTAAAGTCATTGAAATTCCAAAAAGTCCAAGAACTTACATCACAACAGAAAGAAAATAGACTCAAAAGAGCTAGACTTAAAAGAGCTAAAAGTTCTGAACTGCCGAATTTGGGTTTCTCCGATGAGAAAAAATTCATTGTCCAGCAGTTTGTAAACAAACAAAATGATCGTATCTACTTGCCAAAGAGGTCAGCTGAAAATGTGCACCTTCGGTTGGCCACCAGAACTCAAGCGCCGGCCATGGTGATGGTGTGGGCCGCCATAACAGCCGATGGTCGCTCTCCGCTCGCATTAATCGACCGTGGCATCAGAATAAATGCCGAATATTATCGCGAAAATATTCTGGAGGGTGTATTAAAGCCTTGGGCACGCAAACATTTTGGCCACATACCTTGGATATCCCAACAGAACTCAGCAATATCGCATTCAGCACGCGCCACCAAAGAATGGTTACAAAATGAGGTTCCTCGCTTTATTTCCAGCGCACAATGGCCACCAAAATCTCCGGATACCAATCCGTGGGACTATTGTGCCTGGAGTATTTTGAAAAGCAAGGTTGGCACTAAAAAATACTAAAGTGTCGATCATCTCAAGCAAGCGCCTCGCCGAGAATGGACCTTTTCATTGGCCGTTTCAGACCATAATTCGTGCCAAAGGTGGCCAATTCGAACAAATCTAAACTTATTCTAAAATTTAATGCTATTTCCGATATTTCGGAAAGGGATTAAGGATGTATATGGGAGTTATATCCAAATCGATCTCCATAAAATTTGGCCAAGGTATTTCTGGGCTGTATTTGATATCGGATGACTGAAATACCAAATCGGATGAAACATATATATTTGGGTGCTATAGTTATATCTGAACCGATTTTCTCCAAATTTGATGTACTTGCCTTTAGATTGAATTCGGTCGGATGAGCCAAAATGAAGGTCATATTGGGCATTTGGGGCACAATTTTAATGAGGTTCTTCCTTGGGCCAAACAAACATTGTTTGGAAAATTTCATCTCAATTTGATAGTAAATGCGATCTGCTTTTTCTTCACAAGAATACATGGACGGACGGACAAATGGACTGACATGCATAAATCGACTCAGAAAGTGTCTTTATAAAGATCCTCAAAAGTAACTATGAGTCTATCTCGCTTCCTTCTACATGTTACAAACAAATGCACAAAGACATAATACCTTACCACCATGTGGTGCAGGGTATAAAAAAAGCCATTTTAAAATTTAAATTTAAATATCTTCTTTTCCAATTTCCAAATAATTTTTCCTCTGGAATCTAATAAACACATTCAAAAGTTTTAAGTGCAAAGACTTCGCCAAATATGTTTTTCTAACCTATTTTCCCAATTTCTTTTTTCTTAATTTCACGCATAGCTATTTTAAAGTTTAAACTCAAACAAAAAAAAATACTTAAAAACATTCTCTCCAAAAACCCACTTCTTCTTCAGTCTGTTGCTGCATCTTTGGTTGCAATCACGGTTGCAGCCACCAATACCATTACAATGAGATTCGCACATACATATATAAACATATTACCCTAAAGGAGATAAGAATGAAAAAAGAACAAAGAAAAAACGAGCTATAAAATTATGAATGCAATTGCAGTAATTCAAAGAGGAAGCGAAGCATTACCCATGAAAGTGGAATAAGAAAAATTAACTTTGCATACTTTCACTTCCTTCCACTGGCTTACGAAATTCACGGTTGAACTTCATAAAGTGCAAACAAAGATATAAATCACAACAATAATGGGAAACAGCAAGTGGGAACTGCAATGGGAATGGTATTGACGAAGATTGTACGCCCTTCGCAGTGAAGAGATATAAATCTTTTGATAATTATTTAATAAATACTATTAATCGATTTGTCGACTGATACATTATTTCAGCGTATGGTTTGACCTTAGTTGACAATGTTTGGATTTTTCAATATTTAAACAATTTTTCGGGGGGTACCAAGTGGAGAATATATTCGAAGTTCAAAGTAAATAGTACACTTAATGTACTTTTTATTATAAGTAAAAGTGACCCCACCAGATTAAGCGTTAATCGAATGTAACAATGTATGAAGTTTGGACTATATTATTACCTCTGCTTAAAGGGCAACAAAACAAAATTTTTACCGAACCAAAATTTCTCTCCTAAATTCGATTCCCTCAGTATTTTACTACATATACCCTTGGCGAAATTGGACCTACATATCCCAAATTTACATTAGAACCAACAAATTTAAATTTGCAAAGTTTTAAGAAAACTGGAGATATATTGTTACTGTTATATTCCTGCGAAATCAGAGTTATTATTCCCCTTTTGGGGATGTACCACAAGCAGTGGACCAATTGTTTAGATTGAGAGAGATATTAGTATTCAAAATTTAGACCTTTACTTCCCTGGAGTAAGTGCACCAATATTGTCTATATTCGATTGTTACCTCTGTCTTAAGCTGGCCATAGACGAAAGATAAATTCGAGCAATTTGTTGGGTTTGTGGTCGCGTTTTTACGTCTGTGGGGTAGTTTGCGAACAAATTGCAAGTGTTTGAAAATTTTCAAAAACTTGCAATTTGTTGGCAAACAAATCATACGTGTGTGGGCTACTGCGCAAATTTCAAGCCATTTTGCCATTTCAGTTGCTCTTCAACCATTGTAACGAAAGGTCGTGTAGTGCACACAAAAAATGGCAAGCAAAGACTTTATGATAGAATTTTTTGAAGTGTTAAAAAATGGAAATGCCATTTGGCAAACAAAAAGTGAAAAATATAAAGACAAATTAGAAAAACAAAAATCATGGGAAAAACTCGTAACAAAATGGAAAGAGGTTGACAAAAATGCTTCGGTGGACGTAGTAAAAAAAAAAATATAATTGCCTACGAACAACGTACAGAAGGGAGCTGCAGAAGATGCGCAAAAGCGAAAGGTCAGGTGCATGTGCTGAGGATATATACGTGCCGTCGCTGTGGTATTTTGACCATCTTAACTTAACATATGGAACCACATCTTCGGTTAACGGTAACATTTCCGGGGCTGGCAAATTCAATCCATAATCGTCGTACATTTGCTTTAACTTCGACTGAGCAAAAACACCAGCATCTGAACATCTTCCATTTATTCCAACCTCGACCATTAAAAACTCATAATTTGCGCCCACCAGTGCCATCATCACAATACTGAAGTTTTTCTTGTAATTGTAGAAGTACGAGCCAGATTTAGACGGTTTCACTATATTCACATGCTTTCCGTCGATGGCTCCCACGCAGTGATTAAAATTCCATCTATTTTCGAAGTCATTGGCAATTGTTTTCCATTGATCAGGGTTGCGTGGCATCTAAAAATAAAATATTTATAAAAAAATAAAATAAACTGCAACCAGAATTTGATATTAACATTTTCACTTACCTTAATAAATGGTTTTAGTGCTGCAATAATAGCTTTCGACGTCTCCAATATGATTCCACCAAGACTTTGGGCCGATATTTTGGTTAGAAATTTAAGGTCCTCATAGCTTTGCCCAGAAGCAAGGAAGCGTAACGTCGCTGAAAGTCTTTCATTTGGCGTAATAGCGTCACGCATCACTGTGTCCTCCTTTTTTATTGCTGGCGTTACCCACCTTAATAGTTCTTCATAGGTATCTACATCCATGCGTAAAAAATTTTTATAATCCCTTGGAGTAAGCATTTCCATATTTTTGAGCGTTGCTACATGGGAATGCTTTTTTCTTTCGAGCAGCCACTCTTCACTCCATTTTCTTTTTCTTTTTTTTCGATTTTTTTCTTTTCTTGTTTTTTATTTTCCATGTCGAAACATGTATATATAATTAAAAGCGCAGCTGCACCAGCCGCTGCATCGTCGCACATGTTTTTTTAAGTTTCCTATCAACAGAAAAAACCAATTGTTAAATAAAAAATTTTCTGCCACAAAATTCAAACAGAAGCACAAACCGAAGTTCAAACACAAAATGAACATCATCCGCTTCGTAGCATATGCTTACTCTTCAACGTCGGCCGAATTATGATTTGTTCGAGCGTGTGTGGAGAAACGATATGCAATAAATCGCAGCAATAAATTTGCAAATCACACCAACAAATCGTTCGTCTATGGCCAGCTTTATCCAGACCTTTGAAAAACGCACTCGAATTTATACAAAGAGTAAAAATTACTTCAATTCAAGCGGGAACGCCCCCGGGAGCAGAAAAAGACATCATGCAAATGTTCAATATTGCTCGAATTGGAATCGGCATATTTGCCTCGTTTTCAAGTGGGAGCAAAATTCATTCAAAATTGAGCAGATTGTACTCTTGGCGAGCACTCTTAATATTTTTGCCATACCGTTGTTTTTCTGTGTATGTGTATTTTTTATACACTCCCCCCTCCCCACTCATAGAGAAAGCTCTTGGTCTCCCACTCTAACTTTCAACACTTTTTCACAAAAGTGTGAAGAGTAGACTTCGTATAAAATACCCACTCTTCAAGCAATACTGCTCGCGAGCAAGTTTCGCAGCCGAGTGAATTTTTGGTAAATGGTAGAATTTTGGTAGGAGTTAAAAGATCAATACTCGATAAAGTCTGTTAGAAATATTATAATGTACCAAGTTTAGATAAAACCACATACTCTCTACGAGAGTTATAGTGTGCACCTACAAGAAAAATGTCTTACAACGAATCTCGTCCAAAGATACCTAGAACCTAAATCCTTTATTTCGATAAGGCATGAGGTATGAAGCCATAAGAGAGATGGTACAAACATATTGATTTTTTTGTACTAAAAATGCTGAAAATTTACTTAATGCGAACAAGTTGAACTTGATCCTTGAATTTTGCACCGAAGTCAAGTCTGATATCAAGGTATGACAACCTGCATGACGTTCTATAGGTCTCTCTCGCTTCCTTCTGCATGTTACGAACAAATGCACCAGAACGTAATGCTGTGTCCCACAGTGTGGTGTGGGGTATAAAAAGATAAATGTCGGTAGGGCATCCTATACATTATTTTCAAACTTACTTCAGTTGAGAAAATCGACAACATCGACTCATTCCTTTTAATACTTTTGTTAGATTGGGTCTAACCCAAAAAAAAGAATTAATTTCCTCCCTGCCAAACTTTTCACTTCATGTAAAAATATTCTGTTTATGCGTTATATGGGGACTATAGAAAAACGTGGTCCTATTTAGACAATTTTCTGTCACTGGAAATAGAATTCATTTTGAACTCCAAATACCGAACTTTAAGCTATTCCACTAGAAACTGTTGCAAAAATCGTTAAAATACCGAATATGTAAATATACAATTTTTTATCGAGTGTGTATTGAATTTTAAGCTACTTCGCAAATAACTAAGGCTAAAATCAAAAAATCAAATTACCGAATATCGGGACACACAATTATACGGGGGTTATATGACAACGTTGACCGATATAGCTCATCTTTGAACCTGATCTGCCTTCAGACAAAAGTCAACTCTATGGAAATTATTAGCTTTCTGTCACATGCCGTGTCTGATTTCTGGTACCATATATCACTCTTGTGGAGTGCATATTACGAAGGTGAGGGACTTAAACTCCAAATCGGATGAAACATATAAAGGGTGTTTTTTAAGCCCGATAGAACTTGAAATTTTAAAAAATAACACAACATTAACACGTGACATTAACATTTGAAAATGATTTCGGTCATATGGGCACCGCGACTGTTCTTGCTGAAGTGCATTCTGGACGTCCAATTTTTGGCCACCTTTTCGAGCACTGCTGGCCGTATGTCACGAATAACACGAACAATGCTGGCCTCCAAGGCGTCAATTGTTGCTGGTTTATCATCATAAACCAGTGACTTCACGTAGCCCCACAGGAAATATCGAGAGATGTCAAATCGCACGACCTTGGAGGCCAATAGACAGGCCCACTTCTCGAAATCAACTTATAGCCAAATTTTGATTTCAATAAGTCGGTGGTTACGTTCGCCGTATGGCACGTAACGCCATTCTGTTAAAACCATCCATTTTTTTTAAAAGAAAAGTATTGATCATGGTGCGGTAACGATCTCCATTGACCGTAACGCGAGCTCCGGCCTCATTTTTGAAGAAATAAGGTCCGATGATGCCACTAGCGTGAAAACCGCACCATACGGTGCATTTTCTGGATGTAATGGAGTCTGTAGAGACTCTTGTGAATTGGTCCCGTTAAGCCAAAAATGCGCTTCATCGCTGAACACAATTTTGAAACAGGTATTGCTGGGCCGTATTTGATATCTAGTACCAAACATCATTCTCGTGGAGTTCATATTAAGAATGTTAGGGACTTAAACACCAAATCGAATGAAACATATATATGGGAGCTATAGGTATATCTGAACCGATTTTCATCAAACGTGATGTACTTGCTTCTAGACTGATATCGGTCGCATGTGTCAAAATTCAGGTCATTTGGACTGATATTGTCCATTTGGTGCACAATTAGCCCGAAATCGGTCGAAGATATATATGGGAGCTATTCTCACAATTTCAATAGGGTTCGTCCTTGGGCCAAACAAATATTGTTGGGAAAATTTCATCTCAATCGACCTTAATTTTCTTCACAAAAATACATGGACAGACGGACGGACTGACATGTATAAATTGACTCAGTAAATGATTCTATGAAGATCCTCAAAAGTAACTAATGATCTATCTCGCTTTATTCCCCATGTTACAACCAAATACCCAAAGACATAATACCTTATCACTATGTGGTGTAGGCAGATTTACGCACCTTCAGGATCGGATCTGTTGTAATCTTAGCATTTTAACTTCTTTGCGCATATTGTAAGACATTATCTAGCAAATTTTGACACAGCCCATATATTATGACTTTGCATGTTCTATGTACATATTTTGGCGACTGTGATCCAATTTTATTTTTATGGTTCTAATATAATGCTATGCTAGCTTATATTTGCTAGCCACCAAATGTGCCCAGATACTTATAGAATTAACATAAAAAATATAGAACTGTAGGGTATAACAACTGAATTTGTAGTTGAAAATTGGGATGCATAAAATGATAAATGATTTTATTGCACAACTTTAAAATCATCATTAACTATCGCACTCCACAACTCACACGCACACATATACATACATATACACACAATTCATGAATAAATTTCTCCACTTAACCATATTTTGACAAGGAAAATTTTCAACAAACCTCCAGAATTTATTTAAGGAACATTACAATGCAATGCAAACATCACGAATGAATGTCGGGATTTAGTTTCGTTAAATGGTAAAACCTCATTGCCATTGTTATGAGCATTCGAAGAATACCCGTACGTTCATGGCAAGAAGTCTGTAATGACAGAGGATGCTGTTGTAAATGTTCAAATTCAAAATGCTTTGGATAAACGTATGGACAACGATGTTCGAGTTGAATGGATATGAACTACAAGTGGCACGTCCAAACAATGCGTTTGGAGTGAATTTTATAAAACATATTGTTTTTGTAACTAAATTGACTAAAGTTAATTTAAATATTAAATTGTAAGGCTTTCATTTCATTTTGCAAACATTAATTTACAATCCATTTATCGCCTTTTGTATGAAATCAACCAACATTAACTCATTCACCAATGCTTGACTGACTTCGGACGGAATGAATCTCATTAATGAGTGTATTCGGTGATTAATGTTTAGCCATTTAAAAAGACAACAACGACAACAATCGAAGGTCAAAAGTGTCCTCGATTCATGCGAAGAAGCGTTGATGTGGAAAATTAATTAATTGGACTAAAACGATAAATTTGTGTGCATTAACATAAAAAGAGGAAATCGAAAGAATATACTGAAGCTATTGGCAGCAATGATATAAGAGCTTACATTAATAACTTATCTATCAAATAATTGGAAGAAAGATTTCTCCTCCCCACAAAAGTTGAAAATTTTGCAATACATCACATCTGCCCACTGGATCTAATTATGGCTAAAATATTCGAATATATTTAAAGTCCTTTAATTGGAGACCTACATTTGTACGATGTATGATTGAAATCATGTGAAATAGTTTAAAAACACATGTTAACAATAAAAGCCAGATAATCACCTTCTAAAGTCTGCTTTAGCATGTGCATTACAATTTGTAAGAAAATAAACATTGTCCAAAAAAATCTTAGTTATGAAACAATTTGTACAGCTCTGTTTCAAACCAACATCATCTATCCACACAATGCAACATTTTATTTATAAAAACCCGAAAAAAAAGAAATTCTCTTTTAACATTTTATATGAAAAATTGCATTTAAAGTAAATGTAATATGGTATTTCTCTTTAACACGCGAAATTGTAAACTCTAAAGAATTGGAACTTTCAACAGCAACCAACGGCCAACCGACCCACACATTGGTTGTGTGCAAAAGTGTACAGTCAAATGAGTAAATGCACAGCTGTGCACAATGGGATGGTAAAGGCTATATCCAATAATTCAAAATTTGTTTTAATATCCTCAGTCTGAAATTGATCCAAACTTAGTTCATCGTAATATTTATACCCAGAGTCATATGGCGACAGAGGGCATATATCATTTTATACAGTCAAACCGCACCTCATCGAAATAACGGTTTTAGACCAAATCCGTTTCAGGACATTTGGGTTCGATCTAGAGGTGTCCGTCCGTCTGTCTGGCTGGCTGGTGCGCAAGATAATTCTCGAAAATAGCATCCGATATGATTCAATACATGGTACATCGTAATGTTGTTGTCAAACTTAGAACGAGTTCAGAGTTGGGCAATATAGGTTCACTCCTTCCAAAACCTCCCCCACAAAAGGCCAAAATTTTCACAGAAAATAATTTTCCGTATACAACAAGAACGGATCATCCAATTTTGATCAAATTGTGCAAATCCCAATACTTGTAGCAGTGTCTGGTGCGAAAATGGACAATATCGACCCTTTGGAACTTCAAATGCCAAATTTGAAACAATTCCGATGAATAATGTCGCAAAAACCATCAAAATACCAAATATCGGGAGGTACCGTTGTTGAAACGTTGAAAACGTGGACCTACATGGTCCATTTACGAACTTAACCTGCCTACTGGCAAAATAAACATGTGTGCAAAATTTGAGCCTTCTATCTC